GTGGGAAGGCTTTTTTTGGAGCAAAAGTTTGCCCGCGGGGATCTGAGACCACCCCGTGCCCCCGAGGAGAGTCTCGGGTGCTTTGCTTTTGATGAGTTAGGGCTGGGTTTGCCTTCCCAGGCTCTCCAGCCAAGTGTGAGCAGGCTCCAGGGAGAACTTCTGAGTTTTCCTCTGGTCGTGGGAACGTGAAAAGCTGTGGATGTGGCTGTGGGGGTTGTCTGGGCACACCGAGGCTTGTTTTCCTGCCTTCCTCTTCCCCTCCGGTTCCCATCAGGTGATGTTTACTGAGCCAGAGCTCGAAGTCAGGTAGAAGATGTGGTGTGGTGTGTGCCAGGATCGGGAATGGTCCGGAGCTCTCCTCGCCCAGGAAAAGCTGCACCTTCCCTCTTGCTGTCCCGTTTATCTCTTTCCTTTTTTGATCGCTTAAATTTCTCACCCCAGTCTTTTCCTGGAGGATTTTCCAAAGCTTTTTGACCTCCTTAACCCCTGCTGGGGCTCACGAAGAGAGTTGCCCTGCTGCCAGAGCCACTGGGCACTCGTGTTTGTGGGAGCATTCCCTGGTGGATTGTGGCATCTGGAGCACGAGTCTGATAAGGAGAAGCTGTGGGGGGCTCATCCTGGAGAAAAGGAGGCTCAGGGGGGCCCTGCTCCCTCTGCAACTCCCCGATGGGAGGGTGGAGCCAGGTGGAGGTCGGGCTCTGCCCCCAGGGAATAAGGGACAGGATGAGAGGAAACACCCTCAAGTTGTGCCAGGGCAAGTTTAGGTTGGATATGAGGGAAAATTTCTTCATGGAAAGGATAATCAAGCATTTTGCTGAGAGGAGAGTTACAAAGAGGAAGTGTCTGTACCTGGGAAGGTGACAGTGTTGAATCCAACCACACTTGGGACTTCCAGAGGCCTTTCCCCACGTCATAGGGTTGTTATCCACAGCTGTTATCCACAGCTATCCAAAAACTATGTGCTATTTATATCCTCAGCCCCTCTTGTTGGCTTGTGTGGCTTGACTTTCCTCCAAAGGCCTCGGTCCCACTTTATTTTGGGATCTCTGGTGGGTTTTTTAGGGTCTCTGGTGAAGCCATGGCTTGTGAATCCGTTGCTGTGGTCTCTTCTGGAATATTACTCCCTGCACTCAGTCCTTCAGGGAGAGAGGAGTGAGAGGGAGATCACCAAACCTGAGGATGCTGGAGAATGTGGGAGAAGGCTGGAATGTGGCCTGGAGTATTTAATTCTAAGTGATAATGATGGAAAGGGGGTTGGGATAAAGGTCTGCTGCTCCCTGGGGCTGTAAATACCCGTCAGGGAGAAGGTCTTCGAAACAATGGGATCGTTTAGAAGAGGGAATGATCTTCCTAAAGCCAGGAACTCTTGTTTTCTATCCAGACAGCTTAAATCCAGGTTGCTGTGGAAAGCTGCAGGGCGGTGGGAAGATGGGCAGGGTGACCTGATTTTCAGCGGAGTGGAAAGTCCGGTTTATCCCGAGGCAGTTTCTCCAGGATCTGATCTTTTTCCTTGGCTCCACAAATGGGTTTGTCTGGGAGACCGGGGCTCGCCCTTCCGTCCGGGGTGTGTGTCTGGAGCTCTCCTCTAGACCTGCTGCCAGCGGAGTTCTGGGCATTCCCTGTGCGTTTTTCCCTTCTTTTCCTGGTCTTTACCAGCCTTTCCCTGGCTTTGGCTCCCCCCTTTCCTCCTCCCAGCCGTGTCTCCCAGGTTATCCGTGCCTGCTCACCCCGCGTTGTGCCGTTGGCTGCGGCCGCCCCAGCCATTCCCACTCCAACCATTCCCACTGCAGCAGTTCCCAGCCCTCCCAGGTGTGATCAGGGACAAATATCCTACCTGATGGACCCCTTGTTGCCTTGGTAGGTGGCTCTTCCCGATCATTGGCCACATGGGGATCTGCACATCCACTGGAGTCATCCGGGACTTCGCGGGGCCGTACTTTGTCTCCGTAAGTAGATCCTGGATCCGGGTGCATGAGGAGAATCCCTGCTCCCTCTGCTCCTCTCCTTCCTCCGTGACTTTCGAGCCATCCCTGCCTCTTGCAGCTCCAAAGTTGTGCAAAATAACAGCTTTAAGTGCTTTTAAAGGTCATGGATCGCTGCTCCGTGGGCAGCTCCAGTGGAGCTCGCTTGGGGATGTGATAGGTGCCTGTTTTGCTGAGCAGAAGGGGAAAAAAATCTTGTATTCCAGGCTCCAAATTAGGTGTTTTGGACCTAAATTCTCTTCCAGCAATCTAATTCTGAATAACAGAAGTAACATGGCTGTTAACTGTTGTGCTGTATGTGCCAGTCCTGAAAGCTGCTTGTGGTCCAGTGGGCTTTGGAAGCAAAGTGAGTTTTAATTTGGGATGATTAGTACTCTGACTGGGACATTTGCAACTTTGAGTTAACA